GGTTGGCTTTAATGTTTTAAAAAATATATATTATTAGATAGATTTTGTGACCAACAACCGTATATGTGAAAGTTTGTATATATATATATATATATATGTATGTATATATGTATATATATATATATATATATATATATATATATATATATATATATATATGTATATATATATATATATATATATATATATATGTATAAAGTAGGCTATATGATTCTCTATCCACATTTGATAAATACATTCCCACCACACGTCTCTCCAGGTGTTCTCTAGCTGTAGCTGTGTCGGAGAGGCTGGGAACTTTACGGCCAGCACGGGGCAGTGCCCTGAGAAGGACGACTGTGACAGGATGTTCCCATATTTCCTGGCTCTCTCTGTCATCACTTCCTTTATCATCTCCCTTGGGGGCACACCAGGCTACATGTTTCTCATAAGGTCAGATTTCAATTGTAAAAATATAAGGAAAATTAATAATTATCACTACCCTGCTACGAAGAATCTTATAAGCTTCAATGCTAGTACATCAATTACTTCACTTTTTGTCTGTTTTGAAAATGTAATAAGGATTTTCACCGGATTCTTGACATGTTAACTAGGGGATACTAATTGTTTTCTCTTTTTATTTGTTCTGGTTAGGCCATATTATATGTCAACATTGTGTTGTCATTAAATGTTATGCTGATTACAAACAGATGTATGGCCCCAGTAATACTGTTGACCTCAATACACTGTTCTTTACACAGTGAACATTTTCCTTTATTGAACTCCACCAAAACAGAAGTTCTTGTTATTCAATCATTCATTATCATAGTAGAGTATGTCAAAGATATTATGAGAAAAGCAATGATATAGTATGTAGACATGAAAAAAGTAATAGTATAGTTTGTCAAAAATATCATGGAAAATGTCAGACTACAGTTTCTCAAAAAAATATATAATAAATGTCACAATGTAGAAAATATCATGAAAATATCATGAAAAAAAGTTGAAAATGTGCAAAAATAAGTCAGTGTAGTATGTCAAAAATGTGCAAAGCATCGTAACATAGTCTGTGTAAAATGACATGAAAAAGTTATAATATAGTATGTTATTCATAGTATAGTTTGTTAAAAAATGACAGTGGTCAGTGGAAAGTTCAAAGAATAATATGTCGATATATAATGACATCATATAGTGTTTCCAAACATCATGAAGATATGTGGAAAAAATTGCAGAAAAGTCATGGTATATTCTGTCAAAAACATCATGAAAAATCACAGTATGGCTGGAATGCATGGATATTAGGCATTGCTTTCTACAAACGAAGGACCTGTTGACCTCTTGAGTTAGACACAAATCTAGAATTCAGTTATTTTACAACCCAGTTCAAACGCTGCAACGAAGATGGAAGGCAAGAAGACTTGACATGTAACAGAAAGCATATTTATTCACAAGATGTATTAAGAGCCAGCAAGCAGCGAACACAGACAGAGACCCCTAGTGGAGGGGAGGGGGTTGTAACAGTTGGCAACAGGTGTTTTAATGATATGATATGATATTAATGATCTTCTGGCTCCGTACATGTGCGCTTAGTTAAGGGATTTGAGAATACCTGGAATAGTAGGGCCGAAAAATAGGATCATAATAAAATAAATAATAGAATCATAATATAAAATGGCATTAATATGGCACAAAGCATGTATCACAGTTTGCCATTTAAGAAATATTGTAAGACATTGTATGAATACAGAAGGCACAGTAAATGTCATGAAATATAGTGCTGTATTCCAAAACATAGTATAGTATGTCACAAAAAGTTCATAAAGCAATGCTTTTGCTGTTGGCTAAAGCTATCGATAACGATACACAAATCTGCAGTTTACTATGGATGTGAGATCAACAATAAATGTTTTCTTTATGTGTGCACTGTTACTGTCGCTGCCATCAATCCTATACTGGTCCCCTACATTGTCACCAAAACTTGAGATCCCCTGGACAAGAAGATAGATTCTTCTGCAACACAGCCCTGTGTCTCCACTCAACACAGAGACACCGTTCCCTTCATATGACACGCACACACTCTTACACATACTTACACAATTTCCTTAAGCCATATAATCTGATCCTGTTGAACTGCACTGACCTCACTGAACATAAATTGTTGTTAATGTCATGTAATAATGTACTTTCAACCCAGTGCCATACAATGAATGTATCCCTTCATCATGAAATAGTGATGCAACGTGCATGGTTTATATTCTTAGGGTGTCCGAAATTGAGGTTTCTACTCTTTTCATTACATTAAGAGTAAGACAGTTACTGAGTTAATCTATAATGGGCTGTTTTTTTCTAAATAGTCTACCATTTTTTTTGATGCAGGTGCATCAAACCACAGCTGAAATCCCTGGCGTTAGGTTTCCACGCTATGGCAACTCGTACCCTAGGTAAGTCCGCTTAAAATACATCCTCTCTTGAGCTGGTCTAAGATGCAAACCATGAAAATGTGTTGGCATCGGTTTGAATCCTTATTCCATCTTTCTTCACAATGTTTCCTGCTCACAGCGGGGATCCCAGCACCGATCTACTTTGGAGCAATCATTGACACCACATGTCTTAAATGGGGTCAGAAGAGGTGTGGAGGCTTAGGAGCCTGTCGAATCTACAACACCACTGCATACAGGTAGTACACTCAGTTGAAGTTCTGCAATGAACATGAGACTTTTTATATTATTTTGCAAAGAAAAACAACATGACATTTTGAACTGATTCAGACCAAAACAAAAACACTGAGCCCCTTGATATTGCCTAGATGGAAAATGATGAACCAACTTTGAAATTATAGAAACTCTGTTGCAATGCTTGCTTCGCTTTAAAAATCATTAAACGGAAACAATCCTTATAATTCCAGAAAGGTTCTAAGAAGTGTCACGTTTTTTTATTTTGCTTCACTAAGTAATCATGTGATGTGTAAATCTTAACTTCTCAGGATAGCATACCTGGGTCTGACTCTGAGCCTACGGTCTATCTCCTTCATTATTTGCATCCCGGGCTTTATTCTGCTCAGTCGGCAGCTGAGGAAGGAGGAAAGAAATGCCGTCCACGGAGCACTGGCCAACGGCGGAACAGAGCTGGAAGCACTCAGGAAGGAAGAGTTTGTTGTTTCTAATTCTGACCAATCACAACAAACGGCAGACAGGGAGACGCGGCTGTGACAGAACTGACCCGACTTGTCTCCTACACACACACTCACAAACATCACACACACACACACACTTGTATGTATTTAAGAATACATTTACACCTACAGTATGTACAGTGATACTGTACACATGCACGCACATTTAAATGAGATTTGCAGGGAATCACATACAATCATCTCATATAAAGCATACATTCTATATTTATACTAGTACTGGGCATATGAAGGCTTTGTGAATTTGACAGAAACGTTGATATAACTTCAATATTTCTTGAATGTACTGTATATGCTGTTATAATTTTTCTTATAAAGAAGAGTAAACTATATCTTTTTGGTTTTAATGGTAGCACAAGATAGATGGGACATGTGATTTGTACATACTACAAAAAACAGTTTGATCCTGAAGACCAGCACTGTTTTTATTCCTGTCATCACTCGTGGACAGGAGGATAAGTGGCCTTATAAACTAGAGGCACTACACCAAATTCAAACAGAGATGATGAAATAAGGCCTTAAAAAAACAGGAACTGATGAAACAGGTTGTTATATGAGGGAATGGAAATCTGTATTTCAATAACGTTCAGAAGGCTTGTCTGATGTTTTGACGTGTGCCTCATTCACTCAACAGTTACCTCTCTAAATCATGTCTCACATCTTAAACATATCTGAATGCCATTTAATTTGACTAGTAAAGGAATGGAAGTCTTTACACTCACTTAGAAAAAAAGTTAAGTCTTAAACTGTAGTCATTTACTTTAGGCCAACGTGTAATTGTATTGCAGTTTGTGTTGTGCGCTTTTTGGATGTGAATTTGTTCCATTGGTACTCATACGCTAAACAAGGAAATTGTATTTTTGTGAGTTTTGCTTACCCGTTTGTCTAATGGATGCTCCTCCATTTTGCTTTTAGACGACACAATTTCTAAATCTGGTATTGAAAAGGAAAATAAATGTCATCAAGAATAAACAGTCTGTCACAACGCTGATAGCTAGGATTAGATAGAATTTGCTCAGAATATCTCTCACTTTTGGAGGCAGACTTTTTGAACAGCCATTTTTGTTTAAACCGCTGGTTGAGGTCAATGCTTGCTAGTGTCTGCCATGTGATGTGCCTTAGAAGAGGCAGAATGTGTACTGTTAGAACGTTAATGAAAATATATATAAAGATATACTGTATGTTGTTTTAATCTTCAGGCAAAATATTCCTCCGTGTGTGACCACAGGAAATGCCCATTTATGTTTCTGCTGTGAAAAAAGCCATTGCTATACATTATGTTTCACTGATCAGTCTGTCTTTAGGAGACATTTGTTTTTTCTTGTGTATTTTTGCGTGTGTATGAACTCCTGTGCCAAAACCCACACATATAAATATCATGGTCTATTCTCAGGTTTTTCAAACAATTCTGTTTTCATAAACAGCTTTATCCCATAATAAGAAACCCATGTTCTTGAAATCCGTCAAATCGCCTTGCTATTGTATCTCATGACAATTCTTTAGTATGTACATTTATAGCATATTATCATTTTGTAAGACTTTATTTCCACAATGGATATGTATCATTTTGTTAACATTATGTGATATTGTCTTTTACATTCAGGTTTAAGTTTCAGGCACAGATGGCCACTAGTACAGACTCAGAGAGACGTGTAGAGGAAGGAAGTCGCTATCAATCTCAGTGATGCATTTGCTTGCATCAAAATAAATCAGAATAAATAGTTTTCTGGATTATTTTTGTAACATTTCAAAGAATATCTTAAATGTCATACTAAAATAAAACTTTTAATATCCAATGTGTGTTGTTATTAATTTGAAACAAGGCACAACATAAAGAAAATGATCTTTATTTAACAAAGTGAACATTTACCTTAAAAGGCACTTTCGTCTGATTTCCGAAGAAATGTCCAAACTCAACTTAAAAAGGCATTTATGCAACCTGAAAGCAACTTTTGTAAGCCCAATATCCTTATTTATTTATAAAAAACTGCTGGGGAACATTAAGAACCTCAGTTTCAAGGCTCTTTCTGGAGAAAGGTGATATAACAAAAAACATACAGCACCTTTCAGGAAGCACACAGTAACTCCCCTGGTGCAACTCTCACACTATTATACGCATGAAACACACAGTGCAGAAAATACACAACAAATCGGAACGTTCAAGTTAAGACGTGTAAACCTTCAGTTAGATCATAAGGTTTCTATCCCTACAGATATACAGTTTCATCCACAGATCTATTACATCAGATTTTCTTCAAGTCAAGTCTACAACTTTAAACTAAGCAAGAAACCAAAAGAATAACAAACGTATTTACTGTACGTATTTATGTTGGACATCTCAAAACATAATTGAGATGTACATATCATCAACTGGAATAAAACAAAAATGAGTGAAGTGCAACTGTACATGCAAAATATATTTGCAAAGACGGACGTTGCATAATGTTGTTAAAGTGGCAGGTGTTCCTGCTACAGTAACAAAAAAGCAAATCCTCAGTATCAAAATACATTCATAGCTGTCACTGCTCAAGCTTTCAACAAATGATGGACCCTACGCTGTGCCCTTTGCAAAACTAATGCCACAAACCATAAAACAGCCCTACTTGTTGCACAATTCTTTAACATATGAAGCGCTCTGTGATCAGACTTACTGGCTAAACTCTCCAATTACAGTCCCTCGAGTGATGACTAGGAAAAAAAGCAATTCTCTAGATCAAAGCGCACCAATCAGAAACAGGACACCATTAACATTACTCCAAATAAACCAAAGCTAATCTGATGTCCTGATAAAAAAAACCTAACTCCATGCTTTAAAAACGTTACTGTGATCAGCAAAAGGCTTTACCTCAGAGTGGCACATTCTGATATTGTGATATGCACTCTGACACAGGGTGTTATATGAATGTAAAGCACCTGTTGCAGTGGCTCTGTCCTGATTGGGCTAAAGTCAACCTTTAAAAGGACTTTACGATAACTAGTCGTCCTTTTTGGTTTCACCATCTTGAAGATTCTGGAATGAAAATGAAAGAAAATGCCAGTTAAAGTGATATAACATTATGTAAAGCAACATTAATCCATTGGGGTTTTCACTAACCTTTACAAATGAAATGGTAATAACGAAACAAAATCTAATCCCTTGATCTTCTTTAAATGTAACTCTTTAATTATAATTAACAGTATTTGTATGTCAAAACATAGTACCTAGCACTTAAGGAAACGTACTTTTAGCCGATAATGAAATGGACAGGCTTCCTAAAACTTGAAATACGGAGAAGCCTCCCACCTGCATGATGATGATGATGATTAGGTTTAACTGCTCTCTGAAACTGTTATGTCTAGGTAACGAATGACCCAACAAGTCATTATCCAGCTGTATTTAAGAGCTAGCATCACCTGGAGCTCCTGATGTTCTCTCAGCAGTCGGTCGTACTCCCTGGCGAGACCATCGGTCTGCTTCTTCATTACGTCTGCCTCGGACTGGGACTTCTTCACAGCTAAAGGGGAAACAAGCACACATTAACATAGGGAAGCCACATTTTAGACGATGTGTGAAAATCATTTTTAACATGACGGAGGATATTTGCACATGGATATTTACCATCTTCTGAGGTCTTCAGCTCCTCTTTCATTTTCTCCACTTGTTTCCTCAACAGCTCCATGCCCTCTGCAGTAGCCTTATCGCCCTTCCCCTCCATCAGAGTCTGAAAATGATTTTCACAGTTACTGTTATTTGTCAAGCTAATTGCTACGATAGAGATGAAATATTCAGTGTGTCTTCACATTTAAAGATGGTTAATGAAGGGAAGCAAACAAAGTATGATAGATAAGTGTCTCAAACATAGGTGGGGTCAATTGTGTCTATCTCTATATACAAGCAAAACACAAACAGATGGTTGTAAATAACAGGGTTTTGGACAACACAAGGTACATTAACTAAAGTGTGACTGACCACCCATTGGCCACTCACCTGGACAAGAGGATTAGATGTTAAAAGAAAGAAAACACCCAGGAATCTGGCCTGGAAATGTTTTAAACTGTCTCACAATGTCTAAAAAGAATCTCCACTGCAAGAGGAGTTTAAATTATAAGCAAAAAAAGCAACATATAAAGTCCGACACATTTTGTTTGCTTTTAGAAGTCACGTACATACACATTGCTCATTAGAAGAGTGGCAGACTTATTCATTGTCTGACGAAGATTTTGCATTATAATATAAAACGTATTTAGTGTAGTCAATGCCGAACCAATGTGGAGCCTACCTTTTTCAGCAGCTCATTGTCCTCTGTGTATTTCTTGGCAGCCTGGTTAGCGTTGTCAGCCTGCAGCTGAAGAGCAGCCGTGCTGCCAGACGCTGATGCCAGTTGGTTTATCAAGGTGACCACTCGCTTCATGACCCTGCAAAAAGACAGTGGGAATTACAGGGGTCTGGGAAACACATTTGATATGGTATCAGTATAAGACAACAAAGACTCACAGCCAGAGGAAGACAGCAAAGCCAGAGATGTAGAGGTTCCTCTGGGCTCTGAAAAGCTTCATGTGGAGGTGATCGAACATGTTGGGCTGCAGCTTGGCATCGGAGCCAAGATCCTTAGCTGAATATTTTCTCACCTCACGCACAGCATCTAAAGAAAGACAATGACACAAAGTTAGACCTTTTATACTGGGGAATTTTGATGTAATTCTCCATACAGGCAATATATTTGAGAGAGTGCAAGAAAGTGGTTTGATGAACCTTAATGATAATATATTTCGGAGTCCAAAATACATACGTAGTTATTTTTGTTCTTTTTTTAAAAAAAAAAGTAATTTGTAGGGTAGACATCTCTCATGTTGTGCAGGTTTAGTGAATTGGGTAGGTTAGTCCAAACATATGAATACTTAATGTTGCCTATAATTTTTCTGCTTAACCTTACTTCAGTTTTACCATTTGTTTATCATCACATGACTGACAGAAGATTTAAATAAACTTACATAATAGGGAAGAACAAGTCAGCAAAACTGTGTGGTGCAAAATCATGTGAAGGTGTATGTTAAAGACAATAGTAAAGGGATGCTCTGCTCGATCTGAGTGACGCTCTGCCTGTTGCTGTGTATGGCTCAGGGATTCATCCAAAACATACTCGGACCAATAGTGATGGCAACATGAGGTAAAGAAGTGTCTACCTTATAAAGTACACACATTTTTGGGACCAAATGACCCCCAAATTACTAAGATTGTTAATATCGTGGATAACTCTAATAAGCTTTAGATTATCAGCAAACCATACTTTTATTTATATATATTTTTAAGAGGATAACTGTGTCTGTAGGCAGTGTAGAAATTAAATAGGAGACAACTTTGAGGGTCCCTGTCCCCTATATGGTTGGTTATTATGATAAATCAACATGAAGAAAACATTCTGTTCACACTTCATGTTTTACTTACCAAGGAAGAGAACAATGAGTATTATAATCATTGTGAGAAACACTTTGTTCCAGAACTTTGACACACAGCTCCAGATCCTCAGCTGGAAAATACTCTGCCATCTGTAACCACCCACACATAAACACAAGCATTTATTGACAGGCAGTATGTCACTGACTCCTCCATTATGCAATAACAATATTTTTGCAAAATCACTACAATGCCAGTATATTGTCACAGCAATGTGCAACCCTTACCCTATCTTTCAGTTGGGTATATTATGAGATCATGTTGTGATAATATAAATATGAACTACATGTAGGGTTTTGGGAGACTACTACTTACCTCCTGGCTGAGATGAAGGGTAAACAGAGGATGACAAGAATGCCCATCTCCACATAGAGAAAGAGGGCCACAACAGTCCATTGCAGCGTCATCTTTAGTGGGAGCTTCTGAAGATAACCTGACAAATATAGACACGGATGCTATCAGGAAAAACAGGCAAGACCTGGGTTATGACTATACAGAACAAAAAGCTCAGTCAGAACAGTTGGGAGGTTTAGCTAGCGCAAATGGCTTTAATTCCACTTCGACAACAATGCGACCTCAGTTGAGAAATATGTATCTTAAGCTTCTTATCCACTCTGTTCGCAGTTCACAATACCTTAACGTAAACTCATGCAAACTCACGTCACTGCAATCTACGTCACACTGCCACAAACCGTGTGCTTTGTACTTATTGCAGGCACATGTACGAAACATATTATTTCACTCTTTACATCATAAATCCAATGCTTCGTGAATATAAGCTAACGTTATCTTAACTAAAAGCTATCGTTAACTATCCTGGCGATAAGGACATAGCCTAAGCTACTGATAACAAGCTCAACACTTTAAAATGGCAAGAAGGTAGAATGTTTTGTGTCAGAATTCAAAATTAAAAATGTTCAACTTACCAGCAAATTACTAAAAATACGAATTAAAAGAGAGTAACTATAGTAACTCCTGAAATCAGCCAGAGAAAGTTTATAGGCTATGTCTGCGTCTCACTTCCTGTTCCTGTGGTTTCTAAGGCGGCTCGTTTGTTAAATATCCAACTTCCGGTTCCCTTTCTTTTCAGAATAAAAATATTTCATTGGCAGTTATCAAAAATCACCAGGGCGGAGAACAGTCGTTTGTTAATTTCTTTTTTTACAAGGCAAACAATATACACATAGCAAAAGACACAATAAGCTCTGGAGCCTACCAGTATTACCTTGTACTTATTTAAATTGTATTTTCTAATGTAAGAGACTGCTAATAAATAATATAAAGTCAATCCATGATGCTGACTTGGAATATTGCACTATATTAATTTGTTGTGATTCTGTGATATGTATGTATCCAATGTTCCACGTTATGTATATTTTCTGAGACGAAAAAAAGAAATCAAGCATCAGTAGTATTCCTCACTGTTTAAGACAAGCAATTATTACAAATGAATATATTCTACAAGATACTGATAAGATCTGGCTTCATGGGAGAAATTATCAGAATAAAAAAGACATCAGCGATTCACCTCAATAGCTTAGCAGTTTTATTTGGCATAAAAAAAGACACAGATACAAGAAAATGTTAAAATCTAAAATATCACATTTTAATATTCTTATGTTGCCAGATCACGCACCAACCCATATGTGTTTTGGAGGTAATCTATGACAGCTGAGGTACTGGATAGAGAATTAAAAACTTTTTTCTCAGGCATGGAGCTAACCCTCTCAAGCATGTAGATAAGGTGTTGGTGGAAGCAGGTGAATGAAGTGCCCTGCTCTATAGCCATGTCCACCCAGTCCCATATACACTCCAGAGGGGCATCCTCGTAGCCACTGAACATGGCAGGGTTTGCAAGCAACCCCCGTGCAGCCATAACACCTATAAAGAAAATAAAACAAGAAATTAGTAAATTCAAAAGGAATATTGTCATTATTATTATCTAGATGTATTAATGTACTTGTTCAAGACTGGGATTTGTTGTAAACAAACATACCATCGACACCAGTGAGCTGGTGAATGGACTCCACATCACGAAGGTACTTTATGTCCCCATTGGCAATGACAGGGATGGACACGCTGTCTTTGATTAACTTGATGGCATCATAATGGACTGTCTGGTGGCGTTCTTCTGCTGTGCGGCCATGAACAGTTATCCATGAGACTCCTGCTGATTCAGCCTTCTGGCACAGATCTACTGTCTGCCTCAGGTCCTTGTGAATTCTGTGGATGAAGTTTATTTTCATTTTTTCATTAGTGTTATTATTAGGTTTTTACCATGATTTTTAACACATCAGGTCCTAGGTACGGATTCTACATGTAATTACATGTATTGATTATTGAAATATGTATGTAAAGTATTAAATATTAATGGATTATTTACGACAATGATGGTGTAATGTGTCTTTTTAAGTATAGACATCTTAAACAAACAATGTTGATCTAAATCCTTTAAACCTTTAAATATATATTCAATTTTGACCAAGAGGAAATCATGTCAGTACTTTTTAAAAGTTCCTCTTCTGTATTAGAAGAGGAAATTATTTTCATGTCAGTACTGTCAAAAAAGTACTGACATGATTTCTGGCCGGCAATGACTCACAGATAATGATGTAACTGTAATAAGTGTATATCTTCCAATATATAAGCCTTGTAGTGTAGCTGAAGTATAACATCAGATATATAACTAAATACATATTATAAGTGGGTGAAGGGTGTTTACCTTATTTTAATGGATGCTGTGTAATTTGGATTGTCTACTTGGTTTCGGACATGTGTGACCATGTCTTTCACCAGTTCAGGCTTGTTGATGAGGCATGCACCATACCCAGCTGACGTAGCCCATCTGAAAACACAACAACAAAGTTAACCAAACAACCGAGATAAAACATTCGGAAACATCTTCAAGCATGCTTAGTTGTCAAAGGGTTAAAGAGATTCTTTTTGTAGAACTGTCCTTCAGTGTAACACTTAATTAATATTCAAAATAAAACCATAACATAAAAACAGAAACATACTATTTTGTTATTCTATTAGAAGTGAAGAAATTAACTAAATGTGAGCTTTTGAGCCTCTATAAAATCCAGTTGATGAAATAATAAAGTTATACAAAAATGAACTGAGCCCATATTGTATCAGGGCCTGCTGTCAGTGACTGTACCTCTGGGGGCAGCCACAGTTGAGGTCAACTCCATCTGAGAAAGGTGCTACCACACAGGCTGAATCAGCCAGAGTCTGGGCATCATGGGCAGCAAACTGCACTATCAGAGGCCGGTCACCTGAGGAGGAAAAGGAATAACACACAACTGTAATACAAATCAAGTGTCAACAAGACATTTATTATACAGGCAAGATTGACATATTTGTGTACAAATGCTAATCATTTCAAAGTGGCCTTGCTTGGAGCAACACATTACAGAAACACAATGATTACGCTCACATTTTAATGTTGCCACTCACTTGCATTGGTAGTGAATTCACTGTCTCTGGCTTTGACTGATCGCATGAAGTCATCAGCCACTATCATTGGGGTGAAGCAGATATCACAGTTGTATTTCCTCACCAAGGACCTGAATGCAAGCCTATGGAACAAATATTTTATTAAGACACACAGACACACAACAAAGGGCAGTTGTACACAGCATGTCTCATGTTTAAGGCCGGACACAGAGCACTTCAAACTGTTGTAAAATTAGGAAAACTAACGTTAATTGCTATGCATTTACTTGGACGTGTTTTCTTATGGAATTTCACGTGGTTAATGGTTTACTGACGTTATAAGCAAAACTAGCTAAATTAATAGCTACCAGTACATAATAAATACAGCCTCCACTTACTTTGAATATCGTACCATCGGAGCACATATTTTCAGGACCTTTCCCTTTTCAAACATGTCCATAATTCTGCTGTTATGGTTAGAAGTCTCCATTCTTCACATGTAGTACTGTCTGCTAGCCAGTTAGCATAACAAGCCACAAGCTATCCAAGAGTTTGGTTTAAGGAAAGGTTCTGTCGTTGCATCTATTTCATTGTTTCAAAGACAAGAACAGAGTGAAAATACGAAGTAAAATCCCACACAGTCACATACAGCTACATATTTTGCTAGGGTTACTTCGTATCACTTATAAACAACGATACTTTCAGTCCACATGCGGAAGATAAATGTAGGCGTGTTTACGACCTCTGAACCCGTACGTCATACATGTATCGATGTGTACGTCTATCTTTTTTTTCTTCAAAATTCTTACCATAATCTATCAAACTATTTAAATAGTTCAGTTTGTTTAACATGCAGTCATTTTGTATTGAGAAAAAAATATTGAAACCCTTGAAATTGTGTTTTTTATGTTACAGCGATATACAGTCATGAATTCATTATGCAATGCTGCTTTCAGGTGCTGTGGGGAAGTGTCGTGTTTTTAGCTTTTGGTTCACTGAAGCGCACAAAAAGCCTAAGCATGAGTTTGTGTACTGTAGATTGGCTCATTACTATATATACAGTCTATGCTCATTACATATGTGTAGGGACGTACAAACTATTCCAATGCCATCAAGAAACAGGGCATAGCTGGTTTGATGGAAATACGAACATTACATTATGTTTGACACTTATAGCACCAACTTACATGTATTCATCCTATGTGTACTATCTTTACATGAAAATACAATATTTTGGCACCTTAAACCTAATGGAAGACAAGCTAGAGAAAATATATTAAATGCTGTGGGTTCAGTGACACTTTATTAAATCTAGTTACAATACCATTTTGAACAGCCTTTTCTAACTGATACACTCAATACTTAGCAGGTTGTGCAAAAGTATCTCCATTGGTGGAACAATGGGTCAGATGTGCAATGAAAAGGGAAAAGTGAAATACACTGAGGAAATTATGCAAGACGTCACGTAATACCTACTTTCATCAGGTCTTAGACTGCCAGTGTTGGAGGCATCTTCTGGGTAACCACCTTTACAATCTATGGTAACCACCCTCGCAAAGGAATGCTCAACACACACTGAATTTATAGAATAAGCCCTAATGGTGTGGTGAGTGAATCCATTCGGTAGAACTTATTAATCATAAAAACAGAGATTTCTTGTTGGATTTAATGTTGTTATTAGCTTTTTGTGAACTAAGAAAAAAGTCCAAATGCATGTTATCTTAATTATCTCTATGTATCACAAGTTTTATTATATCCAAACAAAGGTCTTAAATATAGAAAACTTGATTTGAAGCAAATAATCAACCTCACTTTGCAATGACAGGGAGTCCTCTGTAATTCCCTCTCTGGCCACAGGAGAGCATCAGAGCAGCACAATTCTAAATATCTCGGGCAACCCAAATTCAAAAGTACCCGTTAATTTCCTACCTGAAAAGATCTATAGGAAATCTGTCCACCCACCTCATAAAATACAACATTGTTGAACTGATGAGCACTTTATTTCAAACTGGCACTGCAGCGATTAATATATAAAAGCATCAATAAGACTCAAACGGCATCAACAAAATATCCCTTGCCATGACTGTGGAGAGACCCGTTAAACAGCTGATAAAATCTCAGAAACTGAAACTCCAACATAATAAATACAATTTCAATCCAAAGAAAGTGATGGCAGTGGAATGCAGCTTGTAGATGATATCAAAAAATATATATCCACTTCTCAGTAAACTCTGAATTCATGACATATTAAAATCAGTTTGTTTAAGGTAACACATCTCAACAAACAGAAGAGTTCCCTTATCTAGCAACATTTACAAAATACATTATGAATCATAACAATGGCCAGAAAGAAAGCTTGTGGGAGCTTATTTGTGTCGTTGTGCAGAAAAACAAAATACCCTGTGAAGAAAGAAGACGTGTGTTGAGTATAATCACTACATCCTCTGTGGACAAACAGTTTTACAGTGTGTATATTTCTTAGCATGCATCTAAACCCCGGCATGCATCACATTTTATCTTTACTTTCCCTTTTATCTCTCTCTTCTCTATGTTTGGAATCACTTGTTCTGAGTGGATACAGGCCTCACAGTTCAAATTCAAAACCAATCACAATTCATAATTGCCCAATTGATGTCACATTCACCACATCCCTGTCCTATGAGCCTATTCTACAGCCATTACAAAACAATCACACATGAACATGCCTTTGGAAACCAAAAATATGCAAAGTGAAATATTAAATGAAATATCCTTTTCAATGGATAGACCACACATTGAAAGGTGGAGGTATGGACCATGTAACACCGGCGCACAGCACAGGTGCTTCCTGTCTGCAGTTTAGGAAGGGGACTGAAAAAGATGACAAGCTACACAAGTATAAAAAGACAACACAGCAGGTCGATGGCAGCCAGCCTTAGGGGAGCTCCAGTATAAGGGCCTTGGGCATAGCACCCTTGTGTTCCCAGCCACCTGTCCCATCACTGAGGGAGCTCTCTGCGACCAGCTCCACACTAGAGAGGAAACGTTTAGATAGTCGGTTGCAGTTGTAGCTCAGCTCTGTGGTGTAGAGGGCGCTGGTTTTCTTGGGGTAGACAATGGTGGTACTCTTGAAGTGCTGTGGTCGATGGCGAGGCTGGAACTCCAACTGTGTCTTGTAGTGGCGCCAGGTACTGTGGGGCACCGCCATGATGGTCTGCCTGCAGTGTTCAAGGCCACGGCCAGTGGGCTGCAGGGCCAGGGCCTGGATGAAGTGGCGGTCTGAGTCGTAGTGCACGGATGAGGTGTATCTGTAAAGGAGGGAAAGTGTGATGGTTTTACTTTGTAGACAACAACTAGTCTGAATCCCACTAAATATCACTACAACTCAAGTCTGCCCAACTGCAACTTCTTGTTGGCTCATTTACACACTTTGCAGTTGTTCTCTTTCTTGGTACACAATACAACAACTCCTCAGGGTGTTCCATTTTGTGCAGCATAAGCAGCAAACCAACCTACCGTATTTCCTTTGGCGGTAATGGATCAAGTGCTATGCCTTCCCCAAAGGACAATGGGTGTAGCTGCTGGAAAGATCCGGTGGGTAAAACTGGAACCTGCAATGCAGAAGTCAGCCACATAGTCAAAACAGTGCCAATTGTGTAAATTATCATAGGCCCATTCAGAGCAGAAAGCCACTTTCTGAACATGCAGCAAGTTCTCGCAGGTATGTTAAAATCATTGTCAAAGGACTTCCAAAAACATTGATGTTAACTGACATGTGACAATTTCTGAGCTAACGTACTGTGTGCAGTGGACACATTTATTCCAAAGACTCCCTGCAATTTCAAGGACAACCGATAATTTTACGTTTGCACAAGCATGTGTGGAAACTAGCACAATTGCAATACTAAATTCCTGGTAGTAGCCTACGCAAAGTCTTATAGACTATCAATCAAGTAAATGTTCAGATGGAATCTGTGGTCGTTGAATGCAAAGGGAATTGATATATTACTGCTTAGATCAGTACAATACTCAGGTAGTAGTATTACCTACCAGGGAGCCCCTTTCCTCGTCCTCAAACACCGGGCTCACTCCACCTTTATCCGGACACACAGGCAGCAGCCAGGCGCTGGGGCTCGGGCTCGGGGGTAACCCGGAGTCCGGGCTGTCAAGTCCTCTCTCAGCCCTGCAGCTCATATCCAGTGGATCTCCTTCACATACATTTGGCAAGTTCAACCTGCCAACCATTTCTAGTCAAACGTTGCAAAAGTCCAGCGACTGAAACGGAAATTGCAACAGAAAAACAGATTGCAGTTCCTCAGGAGTGTTTTTCCGATCCGTTAGGGTTTGTTGCAATGCTCCACGGTGTTACTGCTGCTAACCTCTCCCCGGACAGGATGCACGTCTGCCCGCTGGAAATATAATCAACCAGGCGGTAATTCGGTCCAAGGGGCGCCCGAGGTTAAAAGGAAAATAAAATAAAAAAGGTCCTTTACTTTGGATTTCAAAAATATAAAAGCATCACCGGCGCGGTGAATATAACAATATCAGAAAGTTTGTCCGCTTTTAGGACTAAGCAGTGAGAGGCTGAGGGAGCCCTGCTGCCCGCGGCTCGTCTTCAAACTTATATTTTCCCTCACAGGGGCCTTCAGATCCAGACACACCAAAGGAAACGCCTTTTGGGGCTTTTACAGGCTCCTGATTGGATGCAGGATAAGTGGCAACCAGAGACGGAGCTGGTCATGGGAACTTTTCCAGCCCCACATTTAAAATTGGATCCTGGTAAAATCAGGTTGATATATTTCTTGGCATAAAGTGCACATTGAAGCTCTGTGCACACATGGATACATGGAGGCAATGTTTTTAATAGTGTTGACACAATTCAGTCAAAGAATCAACATTTTGTAGCTAAATGCAGGAAGTGTACACCAATGCATTTGCATTTTCTTGATTTATTACAACTGAGAGGCACTGCATCAAACTCTCTGATCTTCAAATAAGTAGCTGATTTTATTTGTCTTCCAGAGAGTGAGATATACTGCAAGTGAAATTGCTGAGAATACATGAAAGACCACATAAAGTGTTGAATTTGCAGTTTGCCCTACAAATTCCGATAGGATAAATAATATACAAAAACAAACTTGATTTAATGTCAAATCATACTGATCCTCACATTAAATGCTCACATACTTTACAGTATAGTATACACCCGAAGCAACGGCATCAGTTAAAAGTCTTCAGCTAGCTGGTTCTCATATGCAAGTCAGCCTAGAGAGATTTCAAAAGCCAAGACAAAGCCAGCCTCATTTCTGACTAAAGATGGGAATATTTCTCTACAGGATCTCCAACTGAATACAGTTAACAGCACTGCAACCCTATATAGTGTACAGTATATACACTGCGCAATAATGTTACAAAGCTCAGACATTGGTAAAAATGTACAGAGTTGAATGACATACATGTATGCAACAACAGCTAGTAGCATTTGAGGAAGTGTCTTCATAATCCAGCGTCAGCTTGTGTTGATATTATTGTCAGTCAGAACATTCTGTCAACATTTTTGCTCTTTCTCAATGATGACTGAATGGAGTAAAATGAAGTCTTTGACATGACCACCATCCAGGCCTTTAGTCTTTTACATTTTCAAGATGACATTTCAGTGAATTTGTCATTTCATAATCTTTTCTTGATGAGTTTCTCCAGTTTGCGGATGCGGGAAGACTCTTGCTCTGGGGTGGGGGCACTGAATAGAGAGGGGCCACT